AAAAAGTTAAATATTCCTCCAATTTACTCCAGTTATATGAAAGCAAAACATGTAAAACTAAAGTTAGATGCATGAACTCTAAAAATGATTGTCATACTATTGAGTGTGATCTTATAATAAAAACATACTAAAAATAATTATAAGAAAGTTCAAAAATATAATAGCTACATAAAAGTAAATATTTTTAAATATGATGAAGCACATTTACCTCTAGATCAAGTAGTAATCCATGAAACAATTAAAAATAGTAATCAAACTGTTTCCTCCTATCTTAGGCATTTAGAATCCCCATAGAATACAGTAATGAAAGCAAAAGGGGAAATTTAAAAAAAAAAAAACAATGGTGAAGAAAGATTGAGATCGAGAAGGAAGGTAGGGAGAATGGATTACAAATGTTTTGTACTAGGATATAATCAATAATGTTGCATCAAATGCAACCCTATCTCCCCCCTCCCCCCCCAAAAAAATAGATAAGAATCCTTTTGAATAACCTTGGGACAACAATACTTGACATCCAATTTTATGGAGAATTAACAGATATTACTTATAGAATGGGAGTTAGAAGGTCCATGGGGCAGCTAAGCAGTAAAGTGCATAGAGCCCCAGGCCGGGAGTCAGGAAGCCCCCAAATTCAAATCCTTCCTCACATACTTAGTAGCTGTGTGACCCTGGGCAAGTCACTTCAACCCTGTTTGCCTCGGTTTTCTCGTCTGTAAAATGAGCTAGAGAAAGCAATGGCAAACCACTTCACTCTCTTTGCCAAGAAGATCCCAAATGTGGTCACAAAGAGTTGGACATGACTGAAACAACTGAACAACAACATGATGCCTATAACTCATACACTTATTCTAGCAAAACCCTAAAGTTCACACCAGACCCAACTGATCAAGAAAATGCAAAGAGAAACTTCAGTAAATGACATTTTTTAACCTCATAACTAAACAAAATAAAAAATCAGATATAAGCCCATGGGCAGTAGTAATTCCTCTTCCCCATCTCCTCCAGTAATTTAGCTTCTGACCAAAGATATCCAGATAAAAATGTAGTCTACAAAGTGTCCTAATGCAGCAAGACCAGCGTCAAGTAGGAACTTTGGAATACAAACATAAAAGTCCACAGAAACCTAAAAAAGTACATTTAGTTGAGCAATCAGGAAGGATACATAGTAGTGTGGTAGGAGAAGAACTAAACATACCTTCCTAACCTTAACATCTTCAAAGGGTACTGAGGTAGTTAATTTAAAGAAGGATGGATGTCCAGGAGGTGGATTGGTTCTATTCTGAGAAAGTTCAGAGGGAAAAGAAAAGGGCATGCAAAAGGAGCAATACATTAATGGAGAAAGGAGGAAGGAGTAGAACTTGCTATTTTCCCAAACTGGGGTACAGAAAAAGAAACATAAACATGGAGGAAGAGGTGGGAGGAAGGAGACATTATATTAACTTCATTCTTATCTGAAATGGATAAAGGAGGCTTAAACTCATCAGGTTATGTATGGAAACAGTAACTAATGTGTAGTGCTTTAAGGTCTGCAAAGTGCATTACAAATAATATTGGTGAAAAAAATGATGATAATTAGCATTTACATAGTGATTGCTATGTGCCAGACACTTTGCTAATGTTATTATCCATTATTTGTTAAGTTATTATCTCATTTGATCCTCACAACAATCCAATTTACAGATGAGGACACTGAGGCAAACAGAGATTAAGTGACTTGCCCAGGGTCAGTCAACCAGATAAGTGTCTGAGTCAGGATCTGAACACAGGCTTTGGAGACCTGACTCCAAGTGCAACACTCTTTCCACTGTGCTACCTAGGTGTATCAAACTCAATGAGGAAACAAGAGGAATAAGGATGGAGGGTTTTTTTTAAGAGGCAAAATAATAAGAGAGAAGAAATAGTTACAGCAGAACAAGCTTCTAGATATAAAGAGAGATTTATAGGCAGCGAGAGATGAGGAAGAACTAGAATTAAAAACTCCATCTTAGAAAATTGGGAAATGTTTGAATCAATTGTGCTACCCAAATGTAATGTAAAGTTGCACCTTTGTAAACGATGACAGGGATGATTTCAGAGAATCTTAGGTATTATGAATTGCCATGGAGTGAATTGCGTAGAACCAGGAGAACAGTCTATTCAAGGACCACATAGTAAAAAAGTAAACTTTGAAAGACCAGACTCTGATCACTTCAGTGACTAGCTATGTCTCCAGAGGACTTATAATTAAGCATGTTACCCTTCTAGAGAGATGATGGACACAAAGGTAGAGACATATTTTTGGACAATGCCAATGTGTATCTCAGGCCAATATAATCACTTGTACATACACAGAAGAGAACAAAACCAACAGGGCAGTGTTGAAATTAATGTATAGAATATGTGACATACTTTTTTTCTCAAAAAAAGAAAAGCAAGTAATGAAATGGACATTCATGGTTTCATATAGAATTTTCCCTTTTGTGTTCTGCTATGTATATGGAAACCTTCTTCTCTATTTTAAGGTCAGAATTTTTTTTAATAAAATTAAATTTTAAAAGGAAAAAAAATTCTATTAGGGATAAATGTTAGACCTGTGATTTCACAGATAGAGGAACCACCAAGATTAAACTTTCTCTACAAACAAAAGGGAGCAAGCACCTTTTCTGTGATTTACAGTCTTAGTAAGTTACCTTGAGCTTGGAAAAGGTGAAACGGCTTGCCTTGGGTCACATAGTAAGTATGTACCAGAGGCAGGCTTTGAAAATATGTCTTCCTGGCTCTAAGTCCAATTCTCTATGTACCACTCCACATTATCTCTCAAACTTCTATTCATCAATTTTAAAAAGTGTCATTCACTAGAAAGCCTGGGATAATCTACCTCATTACTGCTGAGCCCAAGTCCTTCCATGTAACAGTGGACAGGTTATCAGACGGTATCATCCCCTTGGAGAGAGTTGACACTATTTATCTCTAGTCTCTATGTATTAGAAAGATGAGCCACTAATTAAAAATCAGGAAAAAGCAATGCATTCCAACTGTACAATATGCTGTAGACTACTTATTCTAGATATAATGAATTAAACTCACAAACATTTATTACAAACTTAATTATGTACAAGACACAGCACATGTGAGGTGACCCCAACAGTTCTTTCACTGAAGAATCAAACTTTTTCTTCCCCTCCATCAGGGATACTAGTCAAAAAGAAGATAAATGGAGTCTGGATGTAGTCACTATGAAGAAGGAGATGAGTTCTTCCTGTTGTGCCTAGGAGGATACTTTTTTAATGTCTCTTTGTTCCAAGGAACAGGATCAAGCCTGATTTCTACTTCTTCCTCTTTGAAAGAATATTAAATTTAGCTCTGTGGTCCTACAGAAACAAAATCAAATCACCACCACATTCGACTGCATAATATTTTGATCTCAAACAAATTCATCTTTTAAAATAGTAGGTTACTATCCACCACCAGAGAAAGAACTATGGAGTGTAAATGCAAATCAAAGCACACTATTTGCTCTTTTCTTTTTCCTTCTGTTTTGTTTTGTTTCTTCTTTCTTGTGGTTCTTCCTATTGGTTTTAATTCTTCTTTACAACGTGACTAATGTGAAAATGTATAATAGGAATATGTAGAGCCTATATCAGATTGCATGCCATTTTGGGAAGGGAGGAAGGGAAGGAAGGGGAGAAAATTTAAAACTCAAAAGCTTATTGAAGTGAATGTTGAAAACAAAATTAATTAATTAATAATAAATTTAGCAAATCCTAAATAAAATACAATAAAATAGCAGGTCACTTAAAAAAAAAGAGGAGGGAAGGACCTATTTGTACAAAAATGTTTATAGCAGCTCTTTTTGCGGTGGCAAAAAACTGGAAATTGAAGGGATGCCCATCAATTGGGGAACGACTAAACAACCTGTGGTATATGATTGTAAAGGAATGTTATTATGCTATAAGAAATGACAAGCAGGATGATTTCAGAAAAAACTGGAAAGAAGGGAACAGAACCAGGAGAATATTATACAGTAATAGCAGTATTGCTCAATGAAGAATTGTGAATGACTTAGCTATTCTCAGTAATACAATGATCCAAGAAAATCCCAAAGGATTAATGATGAAGCATATTATCTGCCTCCAGAGAAAGAACTGATATTGCTTGAATACAGACTGGAGCATGATAATTTTTACTTTCTTTCTTTTATTCTTTTTTCTTTTATTTGAGTCTTCCAGTACAAAATTACTAATATGGAAATGTTTTACATGACTGCATATGTATAACTTCTATCTGACTATTTACTGTCTTAGGGAGGGGAGTGGGAAAATGGGAGGGATAGAATTTTGAAATGAAAACAAAAAAAATGTTAAAAATATTTTCACATGTAATTAGGGGAAAAATAAAATATATTAAATAAAATAGCAGGTCACTGAGTTCTATTATAAAGACTTCCTGAAAGACTGTATTTTAATAATTTGTCTATAGCCCCATAAAAGAAAAAAATTGGCTCTGCAGGATGAATACTATAAGTTATAAAAGCATAAATGAATCATTGTAAGGGATAAATGTGGATATATGTATGTATCATAACTATTGAAATTTGTGGGCTCATTTGTGGATAAATATTCTATTTTACTTCTTTAAAAAATAACTCTTTGGTTAAATTAAACTTACCGTGCATTAAACATTTTTTTCAATAAAACATATTCAAGCCATGGTAACATTTTCCATTTCATAAAGTCAAAGCAAAATAGTTCATTACACTTCAAGGAATAGCTTATGATATTCAGGGAACATTTCTAGAGCACAAATACAGATAGTAAAATGGTGGAAGAAATCAGTCAACAAGTAATCTCTTTAGACTTCATTTTTGTTTATTTGTTTTGTTTTCCTTTATCAGTTTGGTTGATTTCATTGAATCAAACCACTTGTGTGGACACCATCCACTCCTTTCTTAAGTGAAGAAGAATAAATATCAAAATACACTATTCTGTAATGTGTATTTAATTTAAAAAAATGTAACTCACATATCTCTTGGATCCATCATATTCACACCTTTCGATTTTGCCGAGGCTACCATCAGAGAAGTAAAGTTTTTCTGCACTGTGATCAATGGTGAGTCCATTAGGAGTAAGGATGTCTGTGCTGACAACAACTTGGGCATTCTTTCCCATGAGTGTAGATCGCATTATACTTGGGTGCTGCTCATTCCAGTTGGTCCAAAACATTAAACTATATTTTAAATGGAAAAAAATATATATATTTTGTTTTACTTATAGAAGAAACATAAAACCAAACTGTTTTTTAAAAAGAATTAAAGTAATGGATCCCCATCCTATGTAATTCTGCTACAAATTTTAAGCAATACTTAGAGAAATATTTCCTAGAGCCTTAAAATGAATGTTGGAAATATTTCTGAGAAATACTAGGTTGTGCCTTCTTCCAAATAAGAATTTAGTTGAATGAGTCTACATGATGTAAAATGGGGCTTTATACTTAGCAGTGGAAAAATGTTAATATTAAGTTCCCTCTAAGTGCACCAAAAACAAAAACAAAACAAAAAACAACTCCCCTCTGATTTGTTAATATACTATTCAGTAGAGCTTAAACAAATACTTCCATTACCTATATAATGCTGCATACACTTGTTTTATTCCATTTGTGGAGTTCATATTTCAGATTCCTGAAAGTTCTACCATGCATCTAGGCTCTTTCAGTTTCTTTTTAATCGCGGGGCTTCAATTAGTCCAGATTCTATAGGGACTGGGTCCTTTTATGTACTATGCATTCGGACTTTGAATGTATACTATGCATTAATGCAATCTCCTGCTTCTTTATTTCTCCTCTCTTCTGTATATTGATCAATGAAATATTTTTTGTGTGTCTCCATACTTTATTTTTTTTAAACTGGGTGCAATGAAAAAGTTAACCTAAAACTTCTTCCAATCCCAAATGTTTTCAGTTGTATTGAATACTCAAAATCTGTTATCAGTAACTTCTGCTCAATAATGGAGTGCCTCATGCTCAACAACAATATCATCAAGAAAAAAATACCTTATGTGATACTCTAGAATGGCAAGATTACATATAGCATTCTTATGTGTAATCATTCAAGGACAACGTGAAATTATAGTCTTCTGTATCATTAAATAGAGTACATGAAGCTTTATGGCATTATTGGGCAGGATGTAAATTTACAATAAAATCAGTTTCCCCTGCTAATTAAACAAACTCCCACCCACTGAGAACATCTGGGCTATCTATTCATTTTGTTAAAAAAAAATTGATAGCAATTTCAACGATGTGAATCTGAGAGACAAATATTCATATATATGTATATAAAATGAGCTAATTTTAGAAGAATTCATATGCTATTAACCTTCAATGTTTAAGAAACATCTCATTCACTCCAAAATGATAAAACAAGAACCATGCAGAAATGTCTATAGCAAAGGATTTTGTAAATGAACATTTGAAATGCTTAAAACATACTTTACAACTCATAAATGTCACCTGAAATATTGCATGTTTAATGTTTTCTTATCTTATGTCTGTCATGATTATATCTCTAATTATCTGTCATTTAATGAATATCCTATATTTTCAATATTATTGATGTTAATAAGGAAAAAAATATCTTTTCTTCAAACTACATACTTTTAAATGATTTTCCAAACAAAGTTCTTATTCCATATTATGACATTCACTATGAATCAGGTTGATAACTTTACAATCACATTTGGTGATTTACTTCCTTTAGAGATACCTCAATTCCAGATAGAAGATTCACTAGCCACCATCCTCCCTTCCCTTTGTGATTCTCCCAAAGCTCTACTCACCATCCCACTAAGCTCTTAAACCAAAAAGTAAGTTCCTTGAGAGCAGAGATTGCCATTGCTTTGACATTTCTATTCTCAGCAGTTAGCACTGTGTTTAATATGTTTTTTCATTCTCTCATACGTTTTTGCCCCAGAGACTTATAAAACGTTGATAGTGAAACTAAGCATCTGTCAAAGTGTTAGATGATATTCACTTTTGCTCTGGAATCTCAGAAGCATCAGCTTCATGAATTAAGAAATCACAGTTCCATCCCTGCTTCAATCAGTAACTAGAAATGTTACCTTAGGAAGTTAATGAGACAATTAATGTTTATAAAACATATACCATGTACCAGACACTGTGCTAACTGCTGGAGATACAAAGAAAATGCAAAAGAAAATCCCTGCTCTCCAAGAGCTTACAGTCTAGTAGAGGGGAAGATATGCAAACAACTTTGTACAAACAAGATATATACAAGATAAATTGGAGATAATCAATAGAGCAAAGGCAGTAGCATTAAAGGGATTATAGAAGGTGAGACTTTAACTGAGATTTGGGATCATGAGGAAGAGAATTCCCAGCATGTAGAATTGCAGGCCAGTGAAAATGCTCAGGGTCAGGAGATGGAATGTCTTGTACAAGGAGCAAGTTGAACAGAAGATTTTATATCTGATCCTAGAGGCAATAAGGAGCCACTGAAATGGATTCGAGGTAGGGAGAGGGGCAGTGGATGGGTGTTACATGGTCAAACTTGAGCTTTAGGAAAATCAACCTGACAGATGAGTGAATGATGATAGTCAAACACCAAACCTCTCTGAGTCTCATTTTCCTAATCTCTGTGGCAACATGGCATGGTAGAAAGAACCCTAAAATAAAAATCAAGAGACCTGCTTTCTAGTCCAATTTTATGACTAAGTAAGTGGATGACCTAGGATAGTTCACTTAAACTCAGTGAATCTTTTAGTTTCCTCACTTGAAAAATCAGGAGGCTAGAATTTTCCGTTCACTGCCTCCCTGGTTTCAAATTCTAAATTAACTTCAAAATCTTCCATACTGAGGATACATATAATCGGATAAATTGTTATATTAATTATTTGCTTGTAATTTTTCCATTTCCTCATTAGCCATCCTTTCTGAAATGCCTCCTCCCAATTCTGCTTCATATGATACTATCTCTAGAGCAGGAAGGAAGTGCAGAGGCTATCCAGTCTTAACCCTTCATTTTATTAGGCAAACTGAGGTATAGGGAGGACAAGAAATGGGTCCAACATCACACAGGACATGAACACAGAGAATAGATTTGAACCCACACCTTCTGACTCCAAAGCCAAATGCCTTTTTCACTGTGCCACTGTTTCCCTAAAAGTGAGATATCAGAATGTTCTCTTTTCATACTGCTTTCTTGATTTCTAGTGTTATAAAACCATACCTTGCAATCTGAAGGTGAAATTCCCCAATTCCATCCACCACCTATTTATTAAGGTCCCTCTAAATGACAAGCACTTAGGTGAACATTGCAGATACAATGATAAAGCAAAAAAAAAAAAAGCAAACAAAACAAACAACAACAACCAAAAGAAAAAAAGAGATCCTGTTCAGGAGTTGTTTAACTATTCCCTGGGAGAATGTAGCATAAGTAACATAAATATATACATAATAATTTAGAGGAGTGAGTAAGCAGTGACAATTTCAGGAATCAGAAAAGACTTCTACTAGGTAAGGGAACTTGAATAGAACCATATGTTCTGATATCTCTTTTGTCCACTGTGTTTCTGACTAGTGCAGGAGCTTAATTAGACAGTACAACTTTACATGAAACCCTAAAGGTCTAGTTTTTGTAATCATTCATGCCTGAAATGTTCTAATGTATCAGATCCCAGCTCTGATGCTTACTCCCTGTGTGACACTGGGCAAGTCATTTAACCTCATTAGGCTTCTGGGTCTTCATCTGTAAAATAAGGAGCTTGTAAAATAAAATGGCCTCTGAGGTTTCTTCTAGTTTGTGGTCCATGAAGCTATTTTCTTTAAGTATGAACAGCCTAACATGGGTCTGAAAAGATACTTACTTGTATCTTTACATGTCCCCCCTTTTTTTGGTGTTTCAAGTTAAATAAGCTAAGAATAGGAGCAAAAATAAGACCACAAATTAAAAAAAAAGTTCCATACTTTTGACATTCATCCAATGCTAATACATGTGGATGGTCATCTTCTGACATTGTGATGACAGCTTCTCTGTTAAAAGCTCCTGGTCGATTCTGGTCAACTGTATGTCTTGTGATGGATGATGCAGTAGAACTGGTCCAGTAGAGGGTATCCCAAGCTCTATGATAGGCAAGTCCTTCAACAGAGCCAACATCTGTCAAAGAAAGGAGGGAATTTACTTTTTGACTTAGAAAGAAGTATACTTCTGGAATAGAGAAACAAGTATGACAAGTGCATATGCCAATATATAAATTCTTAGTTATTTTGAGTATTTTACAACTTAAAAGATTATTAAATTATAATTATTGTGAAGTCTAATACAAATAACATTGGCAGCTGGTTTTGCATTACAGAGCACAGCTGTGAACTGCAACATATGCCATGAAGATATTTTCTGCAGAATTGTGTAAATGTAGAAAGCAAAAATTTGCTTTCAAAAAGTTCAACGACAAGATAGTCTTTTGTTTTTAGAAGCTAGCTGCTTTCTTTCTTTAATTAAATGATGAATTCTTAAAATAATTTCAACGTTCACAAAGTTAGGGATGTCTTTGAATCATATGTCAATGACTTTCTTCAGCTACACAACCTGAATGAGTTTTCCCCCTTGACATTATACCTAGAAATGTGAAAGAGAAAAGCAAACAAATTCCCAAACCTTCAATAAACATTGGTTGACTATTTAATAAGTTCCTGTAGTAAGTGTTTTCATTGTATATGAGTAATGTGATATAAAAACAAAACCAAATGAAATTAATTGCCATCAAAGGCCTACCTTTAATGCTGCCAGAAAAAGATAAATTGCAGTCTACAGATTCCAATAAATAAAAGTGACAATATGAAGAATGAAAGTAATTTTTTTTTATGATTGTACACCCAAGCTTGAGGGGAACAGACTGTGGCTGTTGCTTTAGTTTGGGGGCTTATTTAGTGTAGAATATTAGTACTACAGAGAAAAATTTTAATGTATGTATAGATTTCTTTTCCTTCACTCCTATTTTCTTCAGTTAATTCTAGTCCAATGAACTTAAGAAAATAAACTTTTTCTTTTCATTTTCTCTTTAATTTCTCCTGCACCTCTTTGAGGCATGCAGTTGACTCTGAGTTACAAAGAAGTGTAAACTTCATCAGATCCTACAAAGACAGGAATACTTTGAGTATCAGGTCCATTAACTGGACTATACATCTGATGTTTGAGGACAGAGAAGGTCATCACAAGGTTGGCTATAAGATGGTGAATTTTTATGGTCCTACCAACCATCTACCAAATGTTACAATAGCTGCTATGTAAAATGGTGAGAGGAGTGATTCCAGCAATACCACCACAGATCTTTATAGTAGTGAAGTTCCTAGCCCATTGAATTTTTGAAAAGAAACAAACTACTTCCATTTGTGGTTCTATCAAAGAATGATGATGTTAGAAAGAACACTTTGTATCTCTTACTTTCTATCAAGAATCTCAAATAACTAAAATGAGTTAATCAAAATTTCAAAAAGAGAGGTAAAGGGAAGAGAACTTGTGTTTTCAAGAAACTGGAAGAGTTTAGAAGTCAACAACAAGTTAATAGGTATGAAAAAAAATATTCAAGTTTTTTGGGCCAGACATTTTTTTTTCCAGCATTAAAATGTTTCCTTCAGATCTAAGACATCTCCGAAAGTCTCATGCTGGAAAATGCAATCCACTTCCAGAGAAAGAACTATGGAGTTTGAATGCAGATAGAAGCATACTATTTGCCCTTTTTTTCTTCTTCTGTTTTGTTTAGTTTCTTCTTTCTTGTGGTTCCTCCTATTGGTCCTAATTCTTCTTTATAACATGACTAATGTGAAAATATGTTTAATATGAATGTATATGTAGAGCCTATATTAGATTGTACACTGTCTTTGGGAGGAAGGTGGGGAGGGAGGGGGAGAATATTTAAAACTCAAAAGCTTATGGAAGTGAAAGTTGAAAACTAAAAATAAATTAAGAAAAGAAAAAAACAGAAAAAAACATTTTCTTCATCCCTCCCTCTCTTGCTCACTTCCTTCTTTCCAACTTTCCTTTCTTCCTTCCTTTCCTTTCTTCCCTCTTTCCTTCCTTTCTTCCCTCCTTCCTTCTTTTTCCTTCCTTTCCTCTTTCCTTTCTTCTTTCCTTCCTTCTTTTCTCCCTCCTTCCTTTCATTTTTCCTTCCTTCTCTCCTTTCTCCCTTTCTTCTTCCTAATACATATAGCAATTTTCAACACAGAAATGAATTTACTTACTTGGCTTAAGCTAAATACATAGGAAGGGAGTGAAGGGCAAACGGGAAGGCAACAGGTAATTATTAGCACTTACTATGTGCTAGGCAGCGTGCTACATGCTTTCCAGATCTTATCTCATTTGAGCTCATATCAACCCTTTAAGGTAGGTGCTATTATCATCCCAGTTTTACAATTAAGGAAACTGAGGCAGAGAGATTTTAAAGGATTTGCCTGGGGTCACACAAATCTGAAGTCAGATTTGACTTCAGGTCTTCCTGACTCTAGGCCCAGTGCTCTATCCAATGAGAAATCTAGAAGCTTACCAAGGTCCATTAATAAAACATTTTTGTTACAAGTATGTTTGTTAGTGCCTTATCAATAGAAAACCTACTTAGGAACAAATGAATCATTTTTGTTGCTACATTCCTGCGTATACTAAAATAAAAAAATTCAGTGGATTTAAAGACTCCCTTTCCTTCTGAGACTCCAAAGAAGTTGTAAGGACTAGGGTACACAATGCAAATAGGATATTTACAGAGGCATCAGTAATGTTTACAAAGAAATGGCAGAGTTTGAAGAATGTTAGATTTTCACTGTCATTGCAAAACCAGTTCTAGTCATTAGCCAGTCAGATAGCAAAGATGGAGTTTTAGGCCAGAGACAAAACAAAAATATAAACCAAAATGACAACAAAATCGGTCACAGTAATTTTGTAATATCTCAGTATTTGGGTGCTATGTTTTTATTGGGTTAAAAAATAGCAGAATGAGTTGATTTGACAATGTGATATATTGAGAAGAACAATGGATTTGGAGTTATGTTTCAATCCATACTCTGCTACTTACTACATGTATGTCTTTGGGCTTCAATTTCCTCATCTGCTTAAAAGGGAGATTACACTAATTAGGGGTGGGGAACCTTCTACCTTCAGGCCACATGTGGCCTTCTAGGTCCTTAAGTGTAGCCTTTTGACTCAGTCCCAGCTTTACAGAACAAATCATTTCATTAACATCAGGGAGATAATGACATGTCTTGCAATTGACTTTGATTTGAGTGAGGGATGGCTGTGCAAAGTCACCAGCCTCACTTTCTCCACCAGAGTCATCTGGGTTCTGTAGTCCAATATTTATCAGGAAGACTGGAGACGGCCCAGCATGCAATGGGAGACCCTGGCCATTTTAAGCTAAGGTCTTTTCAAGTTCTCACTTTGAGTGAGGCAAGGCCCATTCAGTGAATAGGCCTCTTTAAGAAGTGAGTCAAGGGATAGCCCCTTTAATTGGAAAAAAAAAAAATCAAACTGAGAGGGAAGACCCTCAGGGTTGCTGGCCAAAAGAGAAACAGTTACTATTCACTCTGAGCTAGAAGGGCCCCCAAAATAACCATTAAGTGGTGCTTGGGCAGGCCTGGGACCTATTGTCCAATCCAAAGTGAATTGGATTTAAGGCTTGGTACTCTGAAAAAGAAATCTAGCCATTAAATCCCAAGTTAACTAGATAGTATTTGGCCATCAAAATTTACCTTCCTTTGGGCAGGACACCCTCAGGTAAGGGCATGATACTGGAAGAGAGGAAGGGAAGGGAAAGGAGGGAAGGGAAGAGGGGAAATATAGAATAGAAAAGGGTGGAGTCATGGATTATTAAATGAAGGACATAATCATTAATCCATGTACTTTGAATTTTCCCTTTTCAATGACTTGGAAAGACCTTCCTCCTGGTTATGTTTCCTTGCCAAGTCAGCGATGAACCACTTGGTACAACCCCTGAGATGAAGCAGATGCTCCTCTTTTATGGTTGATCTATTTCCTGGATTACTGGCATATAAAATGCCTCTCTCTGTCCAGGTGGAGTCGTCTGTGTTTTATTTTTGTAATAGATGACAACCTGGCAGAATACTTAATCACAATCTGGTGTTACACAGAAAAAGAAAAAAATACATTGAATCTTTTTTTGTTTTAATTCTCAAAAACATATTTACTTTCCATTAAAAGAGATATTGGCATAAAACCCCAAAACTATAATGGAAAATACAAACCTAAACATAATTCTATGAAGATTATGTTAGGAAAAAAAAAATAAAGAACCAACTCTGACCATTCTCTAGCTATTTAAGAAAAACAACAGCAACAATACCAGCCGCCTTCTGCATTATTACTTTGATGATCCAAAAGAATTACTAAATCAGTTAAATAGACTGCTTAGACTGGTTCAGACAGTACGATTACGATGTGCTAAGCTTTTAAATAAAGGCAAAATGCTTGTTGGCTTAGCCAACCAGTGGAGCTGAGAAGAGAAAGTTAAACTCTGATGCTAAGAAATTCACAACCACAGGAGAGGACTGAGAAAGGAGTTACAAGGATGTTGGCAGCTTCATCCCTCCCACTGCATCAAAAGAATTGCAGAGCTGGCAAAAGAACACATCAGGTGAGGGAGAAGAGATCTCTGTGATTACAGGTTAGGTAAAGGAGCAACATGAGAAGAGAAATTGCTTCAGAAAATTCATCCCCTGTTCTTAAAATAGTTTTCCAAACTGTGGGACATAGAATGGAGGTTCAGTTGGTGGAAAAGCCTCCAAATGGGGACTGAAGTAATATCCAGTCATTGGATATTTTTTAGTAAAGTTCCTGAATGAATTTGTTTATTTAATTCATTTTTTAGTGAGAAAAAATTTCAAATCAGTTAAGAAAAGTAAAACTAACAAGATATTTATTCCAAGTAAAAGAATCCAGTGCAGTGGGTATGTGATGCTGTATGGACAAATGAGATCAAATTTGAATAAACATCTGTCATATGTCAAGGTAGGCTCAATTGATATAGGCTCATGACATAAGTGAGTTTTGTCACTGAACTTCCATTTGCAAAATAAATAGGGAAACTCAAAGTTCAATAATTTTGGTATGACAAATATATGTTATTTTAACATCAATCATATCGGCAAATA